TTTAAGACAAAGATTTTAAAAATTTTTAATTAGTATTGGCTGCTGGGTCAATGAATACCAAATGCTTCCTTATAAGGAAACAGCTAACATTACCATTCTGAATTCATTTCTTTACATTTCTTATCAAATATATGAATATTAATGTGGGACAACTCATTAAAAGGGTAAAGAATTTACAATCTGGTTTTTACTTTTATTTTTTATTATAATTATGATTGAATAATTGGAAAAAAAAAGAATTGTTCACAAAGGAAGTACATCCAGTGAAATGCTATTCTAAGTTGAGCGGTAATTAACAAAAGAATGAAAGGCCTGCCTTATGGTTCAGGTGTTATTTTTTTTTATTGCTGCTATAGTCATTGGTGTTAGAGTCCAGGTAAGCTAAAAATTTTTCGTTGTTGGCTTTCAAAGAATACTGACCTTTTCTGTTTGCAACACTGGATCAATATACAGCCTTTTCACTTCAGTTCTTCTGCACCCTGACAATTCAGCTTTATGTCATTGTACTAAACACTTCTTTATCAAATGATCTAAGGGAAATAACTCCTTATAAATTTTTCTGGATGGTCTCTCTTGAAAGGTTGTGGCAGTTATCGTTGTTTCATGGGTTCTTGTACTCAGCACGGATTATGTTGCCCCTTGATAATTTTCTTGTTTTTGCTAGAGATTATAAAAGCTCCAATTTTTTAAACAGATATATATATATATAAAAAATCAAAGTTTGATTATTTTGAACAGAAGTGGGCTGTGATAAAATATTAATTTTCATCAATAGTTTGATATTAAGCCCATTTGATAACGGAATGGGTGCAACTCTCTTAACTAAGAAATATATTTCATTAAATTGCAAACCAACAGTACCTAATAAACAAAACTTTTCTTTTATTATTATTGATTATCTCCACTTTGTATCTGATCTGATGACTTTAGTTTTGGTAACTTTAAACTGAATAATTTTTTTTGATGGGGATGTCATCTCATATCTACTCTAATCATTCAGAATCTTTGTTAAAAATATGATAATTAAGTATGAAAATGACTTCAATATGGCCAAAGTTTCATCTGTAGACAACACAATAAAACTAAAGTGATTATTAGAAATTTACAAACGTGCAAAATCACCTAAAACTTTTGCACAATATTATATATATATATATAATCTGCATTCAGGTCTACAATTATTTCTACTCATTACCTGTAGAATAATTTGAACATAACTATAACTGTCTACCTGTAATGATAATACAATAGACCTTGCTACCCATAATGCACCACTGACTAGCATATAAAAATAGTTGAGACAAAACAGCACACATGGTCTGTAGATTGTGTTGAAGCATGAAACACCCTGTTAATGCTTTGTATTTATGTCAGTGTTCAATTTGATATATATAAAATCTGACAATTATTTAATTTATCTTCTGTTTATATGTTATTTTAATTAAGATACAATTTACTTAAGTGCTTTGTTTTTTTAATTGAACAGTATTAATTACATTTACCAGCCCAAATGTTCAACAAATTTCATAGAAAATATGTACTTTTCCAACAGGAATCAAATCTGTAACCACAAAAGGACACATCATTTGGTTTTATGTGCTATCAGCCACAATACAGTTTATGTAAAAAGTAGAGAATTTACTTAAATAAATTGTATCTATTAAAATAACGTATAAGCAGAAAATATATATATATATATATATATATATATATATATATATTCATGAATTATTCACACAAAAACAAATGCAAAGGTTAATGATTTAATTATGAGAAATCCATCGTCGCAAACAATTCAAATAATATACAAAAACCTCCGAGATTATATTATTTGAATTGTTTTGACGATGGATTTCTCGCCAATAAATCATTAACCTTTTGCATTTGTTTTTTGTGTGAATAATTCATGAATTTGTAAATTGATTGCACGTTTATCGAAATATATATATATATATATATATATATATATATATATATATGTGTGTTTGGCCAAAATGTCCATTCAGTTATTAAGTAGAAAAATTGGCCAGCTCATACCTAACGCAACTTAGTTTTGTGTTTTCACAATCAAAAGTCAGAGTGTCTCTGATTTGTGGTTGGTAGAAATACTTTGTTTTTTAATGATTTTATTATATGCAAGTCCTTTATTTTGACATTAAACAGTTGGGTGTTTGTTATGATTCTGGACTTTCCAGCTTATTTTATAATAATATATAGTAGATTGTTATTAGAAGAGTGGCTTAAAATAAGAAGCACTTCCTGACCAATTTCAAGTTTGGTAAGACTTGGGCAAAAAAATATTCTTGAAAAATACAATTTGTAACATATATATATGAAGGAAAAAGACAATAGGAAAACTGGTGTTTTAGCTGATGCATTTCATCCAATATGGACTTTTCAAAGCAAAAAAATGAAATGAATTTATTGAAACAAAGTATCTATAAACAATAAGCAAAATGTCATTAACAACTAGAAGAATTTAGAAATGCTATTGTATATTCATATGGTTAAGTGAAAAACTACATCAATTTATGTTTGAAGAGAATATTTTCACATGTAGAAATAATGTTTGTATTGTTGTGTTGATGGATTCTACTGTTTTCTTTTGTGCAGCAGAAAAAACCTTCCACATAGACCTGTTACTGTCTTACAATTATGTAAGTGGTATTTCTGCCACACACTGTATATAGGATATGAAGACTGATGTTGAAAGATTTGCTAAATGTATTGTTTGGCATTGTAGAATTTGGAGCCAGTATGTCATTAAAATTCACAGCTCATGAATCTTGGAAGACAATAAAGTATTTCAGATAGCATCAGTAAGATTAGCACGTTAAAAAAATGGTTTCAAATATTAAAGCAAATTTTGTTTTGTCTATTGTACAGTTAATTTGCTGAAACAGAAAAAATTAAAGAGACATTATAAGTGTTTATTTGAGACTTATCATTGCAGAAATGTCAATACAGAAAACGAGAACAATTAAATTTCATTTTGCTGATAAATATTAGCAGGACTTTTAAGTCGTTACTTGTGATTTAAGATACAAAATTGTTTCTCTTTTGGTCATTGGTTAATTGTTGAATTAACTCAGGATTTAAAGTTTGAAGCACTGAGAAAAATTAGACCTTGATCCTGTAGTATGTGTCTCATCCCAGATAATGCTTGAATTGACTTTTCACTCAAAGAAGACAGGTGCTTGGTTCACCTAAGATGACCTTTCAATCACTGAGTGTAGATACATATGATCAGACCAGCCAGCCAGTCCTGGGTTGAAAGAGTGGGAATGAGGTGTATCACAACTATACAAGCATCCATGCCAGTGAGGTAGTCTCTCAGTCATCACAGATGAGAATTTATGGTCCATGTTTCAAATAAGGGACACATGGTCACATATAGACATTGGATGAGAATAATTGACAGAGTATAGGATGAAATAAAATGTAATATTAAATATGGCTGCACTCATTCAGAATATTGGTGATCCTGGGTCTCCACAATTTCTTGTTCTTTGTAGCTCTTTGTAAATTTTGTCTTTTCGTTGCCTCTCCTAAACCTTGTTTCACTATCCATTTACTGAAGCCCACTGGTAGGTCTTGCTTCATTTTCTTTTATCCCTCTTGCCTTCAATCTGTTCTGTGGGTATCAAATTTTCCAAACCCTCTTTCCCCAAAATGCGCCCTAGAAATTTCAACTAGCTTTTTCTGATGTTAAGTATGAGTGTCCTTTATGTTACTGTTTTCTCTAAAACTTTGTTGTTGCTCACATGTTCAGTCCATGGTATTCTCAGCATCTTTCTGTAGAACAATGTTTCTGTTGCTTCAAGTGTCTTCTTCATCTGTGAGAAGACTGTCCAGCATTCAATTTAACTTTGTCATTGCTCACATGTTAAGTCTATAGTATTCTAAGCATCCTTCTGTAGAACCATGTTTCTTTTGCTTCAAGTCTCTTCTTCATCTATGAGTAGATTGTCTAGTATAGGTGGACTGATATTACGTAACAGTTCTGTTCTCTTTACTTTGTTTCTAACAAAATTTTCCTGTTTCTTATTACTTCACTTAGTTTTTGGAAGGCAATTTTCGCTATCCCAATGTGCCTTCAGATTTCAATGACACTCTTTTCAGTCCTTTGTTAAAACAATTCACAGATATTTAAAATTTTGTATTTGTTTCATTTTGTTATCTCCAGTTTTTAATTTGCATGTTGGGCCGTCCTTTTTGCTTACTACCTCACATTCTATCTTCTTGTAACTGATGTTTAGTTCTTTTGTGATGACACCTTCTGGACATCATTGCACAAGCTGTGATGACATCCAAAGGCTATATGTGTATATACACCCAACTTACTATGTTCACAGATTTGTCTCATTGGCCATGGTCAAATTCAACAAAGAATAATAACAAATGCTTTTCAAGACACTGATTGGGAAATAGCAAACAATACGATTTCTCACTTAATCGGCAATGTCTTCCTTTGGCTTTGAGAAGATGAACTGCTTCTATCTCACTAACTTCCAGCCACAGAAAAAATACTTGTCATTAAACTGACTTAAAAAGACAATGAATCTGTCTAATTATTTCCTAAGAATGTGTAAGAAATCGTAATGCTACACTTTCTTCTTGCTTTCCTTCACTCCCTTCTGAAAAGTTCTTATAGTTTCCTTTTTGTGTCATTTACATATGCTGTTAAAATTGTGGCTGTCAGTAATGAATCCTGGTAGGACTTCTAATTCTCTCAGAATCGCCTCACTGTTTAGGTTGAATGAGGCAGAAGCTTATCATCTTAGACTACTTTTTATTAAAACCTTAATAGAATATTTCTGTAAAAATGTGTGGTTATTTGGCAGATTTTATTTGAGATCTTTTCTCATCAAAAAAACAAACAAAAACAGTTGAAAAGAGTATAGAAGGATAAAAACGGATTCAAATTATGTGCGCTTTTGAAATAAGATAGTTTTCATGTTGTGCAAAAGGTATTTTTTTTATCTTATTCCAGAAGAGAAATGTCATCACTAAAATTTGTTATGAAAGGAAAACCGGTTCCAAAAGGTCTTGGCAGCACCCAGAGTTCTGTTGAAAAGGTAAGTGGTTTAATGTTATGAAACATGTAGCAAATAAAGAAATAACTGTAGAACTAAAGTTCCAGGTTTGCTTAGATAAATTTAGAGAAAGACTGAATTGAAAAAAATCAATGCTGGCCTTAGGTGCTGTCAAGTTAAAATGGAAGTGTTCTTTTGCTCAATCTCAGGTTCACAGCTGAGACCTTTGTAGAATCTGTTACATATCTGTCTACGAAATATCTGAGAAATATATTCTATAAAATAAAAGACAAATTGTAGTCAATATCTGTCTATATTTCTGAGATGAGGTATTGTATCTATTACATTATTCAGACTGTTGTCCTCACCTTTACTGTCATATTCACAACATTTTGGCCATTGTACACTCTGGCCTTCTTCAGGTGATATACATTGGAATTTTGTACCTAACCTTTTACTTTGTCCACCGGGGTAGTTTGATCTAGTTCTGGGTATCTCAGTTTTAGTTATATCCCTTTAGTAACTCAACTCTCCAAGTTTCCATTCACTTCTGCTGTGGCCAGGTATTGAACTCACAACTCTGTGGTTCAAGTCACTGGATTACTTTAACCAACTCATTTATCCACTAGGCCATGACACATGGTACTAGAACAATCTACTTTGATGGACAAATTCAAGGGTTCGGTTCAAAATTCTGTGTATCACCTGAAGAAGGCTGGGGTGTGCAACAGCCGAAACTTCATGAATATGACAGAAAAGATGAGGACACCAGTTTGAACAATGTGAATAGTGTAAAAAAATTATAATCAGTATAAACAAATTTCAATGAATTTTCACAAATTCAGAAATAGATTCACATTATAGCTGTTTTCTGTAAAATGTGCTGTGGACTCTTCCACAACAAGCTAGTTAACCCCTGCTAGGAAATACACTATTCCTGTTATAATTTTCACCATCACAATCTTACAAATATATAACAAGTATTCATTGATCAATAACCATTCAATCTAGCTTGCTGATTGGTTAGTTCCGACCAATCAAACCGCCTGCACGCGACCAATCTGTTTTCCCGCTCATTATGCTTGGAGCCTTTGACGTGATACACAACCATTATATAAACAAAACACGTGTAAGCTCCCTGAGTAGTTTCTTTTCATTCATCTCTCTCTCTCTCGCGTCTCATTCCTTGCTACCAAGTACCAAGATGTAATCTTCAAGAACTCCCGTCTTAACCATTGCAGTCAGACATTAAAGACCATTACCAACATTCATGCAAGTACAAACTTTGAAATCTCTTCTGAACTTTTACCAACTTGTGCAATACACAATTCCAAACATGCTAAAGAAACTTTATTCTTCTAAATTACAGTTTAATATTACTTCCTTTTAATATTAACTCAGGTACAACTATTACCTAATCAAAGGGACACGACTCTGTCCTACCTTTTCAGTTCGCATGCATGTATATCAAATATTAATAAATTCAATTGTTATGTTTTGAAAGAAGGTGTTTATGAATCTTTATTATTCTCTATTTTGTATTAATTGTTGTGGATGGAAGATTATTGAACACACACAATTTCAAACCTTCTGATAATTTCTCTCCAACACACATCACACACATCCGCAACAGTGCAATGTAATTTTAGACGTATGTTACGTGTTGTGTGTCTCAAGTATGAGCAGTGGGTTCAAGTGGCATAATGCTAGCTCTGATTCTTATTTCTGTCTGAAATTCATGAATAAATAGAAATGGGAGTAAGGCTTCAGCAAGAAAATTAAGAACAGATAGGCCTCAATGAATGCAGTCAAGCCTGGTAATCAGCAGCAGGCTATCAAATATGACAAGCAGTGTCAGCAGTAAGCTTTGGTTTAAGGCCCCAATTTGTAGACTTTGTATTCTCCCACAGGACAGTAACCTAGTGAATTAAAACCATTGATTTGTGGATTTGGTGACAGTGATTGTAGCTTTAGTAAGAACTATCAAAGAAGGACAGTTGACAATCATTACTTGAATTTTTCATTTTGTGTTTTTTTATTCACGTAAAACAAAAAATGAAAAAAGTTAATGTTGAGTTGATTCCTCTAGGTAAAAAGGCAGTTTAGAAACAGTAGATCTACACAGGTGGCACTGCTAAGTTATTTGCATGGTACAGTTACTTTTTTTTGACTAAGAATTTGTTATAGTTTTCAATGTCGACATATTGTTAAATTTCTCAGAATAATTCTGGTGATAAGACAATTTGGATAAAAAGAAGACAACTGGAAAATATATTTCTTAGTCATTGCCGACGTGTGTCATCAATCCGACTTTACCAAGGCAAGTTTAAAAGCGAAACGTTTTTAAGAATTTGTTTTAGTTTTCCATGTCGACATATTGTTAAATTTCTCAGAATAATTCTGGTGATAAAACCATTTGGATAAACTAAAAACCAATTCTAATCAAAAAAAAAAAAAAGTTACCAACATCCAGAAGGAGGCTTACACAGGAGCATTCCCTTTATATTTCAATAATAATTCCATTAGCAAAAATATGACTTTATGCCTACAAGCCCTCCTAGAGGATGAATTGAGTAACACAGAATTTTTTCCACTTTGTCATTTGTTTACGAATTTATAACTCTAAAAGAAACTGATAAAAGATGCGAAAATAATATAACATTTGTAGAATTGAGAAAATTATATATAAAAAGCCTCATTATTGAAAAGGAAATGACTTGTCTTTTAGTAATTAGACAGGCATGATGAAGACAACATATAGTTGGATATCACAAATTAATTAAATTACAGTAGGACAGCTGAAATATATAAGGGGAAGTCAGATGAGCTGCTGTTTTTTAATTTTTCTCAATACAAAGCTCAAGAGCCTCTCAAGGTAAAGTGTTACAGTTGAAAGGGTAGTGATGAATGAAATGTGTGATGAAATATGTAAGAGGAAGTAAGATCTACTCTCATTCTCTTCTGAAAGACGTGTTTTTGTTTTTTTAACTTCACTATATGCAAGGCTCAAGAGCCTCTCAAGGTAAATGGTTGCACTTGAAAGGGTAATGATGAATGAAGTGTGTGATGAAATATGTAAGGGGGAGTCAGATGTGCTGTGATTTTGTTCTGTTAGGAAAGATGTGTTTTTTTTTTGTTTCTTTTTAATTTTACCCAATACAAGAGTCTCTCAAAATAAAAGGTTATAGTCAAGAGGGTAATGATGAATGAAGTATGTGATAGGAATGGAAGTGGAGATTATAAGGATATGGTGGAAAGATACTGACTGACCCTTGTTCAGAGAAGTGGCCACCTGTGAGTCTGTTCTACAAAGTAGCCGCTCATTGGAAAAAGCTGAGTGGAACTGTCTTCTTACATCTGGAATTTTGAACAAATGAGGGTGATTTGACTCTGTTGAAGTGGCATGGTGTGTGCTTGTTGCAAAGGTCTGAACCGGTGAAACTGAAGAATAGAGCTCAGCTGATACTTTGACTATGGAAATAGCAATAGAAAAGCAACACACTTGTGATATTACATACATGGGAAAGCGGCTGCAGAAGTGAAAATAAATCTTCCTTCTGTCAAGGTTAGAAAGTCAGGGTTGAGAAGCCAAAATATAGCAGGGTGACTTCATTTTTGGCCCGTTGTAAACTGAATTGTAGTCAGAATTAAAATCTTACTAAATTTACATTTAGTGATAAGATGTTTTTGCTACATAGCTAGAGGAAACAAGAAAATCTTGGCAAACTTGGATTTTCATGCCTGCAAATGAAAAAGTGTGTCAAAAGAATGGTTTTTCTATTGACACCACTATCATTTTAAATACCGTCATTCCTCAGCAATGTTTAATGTTTTAAAAAGTGATGATTAGAATTGCAATAAAATCTAAACATATAATGAGAGTGAATTTATAAATTTTCTTTGTTCTTGAGAATTGACAATAAAAATAATAAACCTTATTAAATTGTTTATTAGAATGGTTGGCAAGACATCAGCTAATTGCCAATCGATTTCCTTATAGTTGATTAATATATTTTAATAATTTAGTAAATGTTTATGAATAAAATATTCATACTTATTTCTTTATAAATTGGCTAATGATGAATATGGCATTGCATTAGCTATAATTGTATTAGATTTTAGAATGTTGTAAATAAGCAATTTAATAAATTCAAAAGAACAAAAATGTATAAAATCACTTTCAACATATGTTTACATTTTATTAAAATTCTAATCATTTCTTTTTAAAACAATAAACATTGCCAAAAGGTGAAAGTAGTGAAAATAATAACAATGTCAAGGGAAAAAAACGTCTTCTTGACACTTTTTTTTTTTTTTTTTTGTGGACATGAAGGTCAAAGATTTTATATAATAACATGACTAATACCACAATCTCAATTGAAAAAAAAGCTGAAAGAGCTTTGGGTTTTGTAATAAACTCTTGCAAGGAAATGATTCTTGATTGAATGAAAAATGGTAGCAAACTTGTTCAGAAATATCTAAACTGTTAGCTGAATACAAATTCTTTCTCAGTCAACTGTTAAAGCTGGCCTCAAGCTAAGGAAGCCAGTAGATCAGTGGTTCTCCACCTGGTAAATTTTATGAGGGCCACAGAAAAAAAAGGGATTTGGAGTGCCACAAGTTCAAAGAAAGGGGTCACAGTGCTACACCCCTGTTGCCCTTTATATTTTAATTATAATAAACTTAAATTATGCAATTGAAATATATTTTTGAGCTTCATTTACAAAATTACTTCCATTTTCTTATTGATTGACCAACACAAAATTACCAACTTTATTTTTATTATTTTGCTGATCTTTTTTAATTTGTGTGTGCAGAACTTTTTATTTTGCTGAAGTAAATGGTATTTCATTTAACTGTTTTTTTTGTTTTTTTTTTAAACAAGCAGTTTTGAAGTTTATATGGAGAAATATCATTGTTTATTTGTTCTGGAAATTATAAAATGAACTTTTGTTAAAGTAAATGGCTTGGAAAGAGCCAGAAAAAAACATCAATCAAATGGGGGCCATGAATAGAAAAAGGTTGAGAACCAGTGCTGTAGATAATAGTGAAGACTATCCTCCTTTGATTCTTCTGGACTGGCGCTACAGAATCACAAACAAAGAATTTTACCAAATTAGAGAAACAACATCACTGTAGAAAATTTGGTTGTTCAGCACTTATTAAAAAAATCTGAATGTCTGAATTGTAAACACTAATGAAATAAAAAAAAAAACCTGGATATGTCTATGAAATAATCATTTGTATTAACAAACATATGCACATGAATTCAAAAAGGGGGAAAAAAGTGCCTTTAGTTGAGTTAAAGTTTTTCAATAGTTGGCTTTCATTGAAAGCTTTTGCTTTTCAGGCAAGATATTTAAATAGACTGAAGAAAAAAGCTGTGATTGAAATGAAAGCATTTCTCATGAGCAAGAATTCACTAACCATCTTTGTTCTTGTTGCTGCAGATTAATCAGCAGGATAAGCTTATCCTGCTAACTAATCAGCAAATGTAGTTAATTTACACATTACTGAGTGCTAAAAAACAGTGGCCTTGTGCCAGACTAAGTCTAGCTTAATAAATATCTGCAACAATATCTATCACACATGTTACCATGAAGACTTGCAGTCACTTATTAGTTTAAATATTTTTCTTGAAAATTCAAAAGAAGTGGGGCCATTTTTGTCAGATTCCAAGTTCATGGCTTCAAGTAGTTTATATTCAGCTTTGCTATTTTAATGTTTGTCATTTCATCAGTAATAAAAATATTTCTAAGAATCTGAATTCATTTTTCCTTCAGGCTAGCAAATTGTCTGCTCTGATGATGGAAGAGACAAAGCTACCCATTGCACCGCCTACCACTCGAACAGGGACTGAAATTTCAGAAATCTTTTCTACTGCTGTTCCAATTCCAAGAACCCTGGCATTAAAACCTGCATTACTGCCTTGTGTTGGGAATGTAAAATCTTTGCCTCTTGCTGAGAAAAAGAAAAAACTGCCGAAATATAAAGTTAGTTTGAAGAAATCTAAAACCAAATGTAAGTATGGAGAATTTTTTTTTTTTTTTTAAGCATTCCACCCCAAGCGAGGTGGGAGTGCTACAAGCATGCAAGGGGTTACAGAGAGTGGGAGCAAGCGTAAAGAAACATGATTGAGAAAAGGCTAAAGAGAAGGACAGGGAATTAAATCAAGGTATAAGAAGATGTCAGTTGGCATTACATTTGAATATTTGAAGACTATAACTGACAGGGAAGCAAGTAGGAGGAAGGGAGTTCCACAGACAGGAAGTGTGAGACATGAAGCTATTGGAGTAGAAGAAACAGCTACATTTAAGTGTTTCATCTGTGAAAGGGTGGGACTGAGATGCCAACCTAGCAACATGCTTAAATTCATTTAGGAACCAGCAAAAATAACTTGTTGGAGCTGTTACTATGAAAGTATTTGTAAAAAAGACAGAGGGAAGCGACTGTAGGCAAGATACCAGACCAGGACCAAAAACATTGCATATGCATCTCTGGATTTTGTCAAGGACCTTGAGACAAATATGGGTGGAGGGGCTTCAGACCATATATGGCAGCAGCATTCCATGCAAGGGTAAAAGGTTGGTTTATAGATTTGAAGGATGGACTCAAGTGACAAAAACTTTATAGATGTCAAGAGCCATGGCTCAAGCTTCTCTGTTATTGTGAAGTGCTTGGTAATCAAATTCAGTTATTGCCACAAGCTCATCAGCGGTAGATCAGGCAAAGCGGAAACCATATTGTTAGTCAGACAGCAGGTCATGGTATGTAAGTTGCTTAATAAGTACAGTGTTGATTATAGCCTCAAAGTCTTTATGGAAAAGTTGTAAGAGGCTGATAGGATTGTAGTTAGATAGGTTAGAAGGGTTTCCAGAGTTCTTAAAAACAGGGACAACAGATGAGGACTTCCAACACGCTGGAAAGCAAGAGTTGTTGAGGCAGTAGTTATATAGTTTGGAGATCATTTCTTCAGGACAATGGCTAGTATCCCATCCCCACCACTAGCCTTATGTGATTCTAATTTTGAAACAATGCCCAATACTATCAATGGGGTTATGTGCATCTCACTCAATAGAGTTTCAGTTCTAAGAGGAAAATCAGGTGTGGGTACATTGGATGAGTCAAGTGTTGAATTGGATGAGAATTTCCGAGCAAAGCATTCAGCCTTATTAGTTGAGGAAGACAGGACCTCAAATTGATTGAATAAAGAAGATATTATGGATATGCTGTTCAGCACACTCTTGCAGATATTTAACAAATATTGTTTTGATTTTCAGTGTAATTTTATCAGATTTTTTGTGAAAGAAATCAAGAAAAATCTATATGTTTTTGTCCTTCCATCATGAAGATTAAAATTGAAAATCAAATTGTACAGTGCGCAGATGGTAGACAAACATCAAAGCTAACAGAAACCATATTTGCTTGCTACTGATTATAAACTTTGTGTCATCTCACTCTACAAGTACCATGTAACCAAGTACAACCTGCAATATGGTAATTAAATTGGAGGCATGGTGGAGTAATGGATAGTGGCTTGGATTGAGGAATCAGAGAGCCGAGTTCGAATTCCAGTCGAATCCATTACATTCACTTACGTGCTAACATCCTTGGGAAAGGTGTGAATCCTCTTTCTTCTCCCTCCAGCTATGGGTAAATAGCAGGACAGGCTGAGTTCTATAGCCTTGTATGGCGACTGGTCTAGGAGAAGGAAAACTCTGAATTCAAACCTGCTCTTAGAGGAAGGTGAATAGAGTCTCTCTGAGCCTTGGTTGGCAATCCATTTAGTGTTGGTGTCACGATAAAAACGCCCTTGATAGCCCTAGCGAAGCATCAAGAATTCAGCTATTTGACAAGATTATGAACTACACCAATCAAAGTATTGGTGAGTTCAATCTCGACTGAGGCCGCAAGATGATGATGAAGAAAACAATGGTGTAGACTGGGATCCATAGCTATAGATTCAGCCGGTGAGGTGGTGACAGGGCATTATTAGCTGAAGGGCTTCATAAACTGATATCAAGGGTCAGGACAGAGGACTACCTCAATGGAATCAAAAAGCCACATGTCCAAGGTGACTCGTAAAGTTAGAGGACATTGGTTGTTGATTGACCTGGAGAGGGATGGACTCCTCTAGGTTTACTCGCCCCAGATATGCTATGCATGAGTGAATACATCTTCCTCTTCAGCTTTCAACCCAGATATGTGGTGGGAACTAATCAAGTGCTCATTTGTGAAGTGACTGTATGAACCCACCCAATTATGGGATATGATGATAAATTAAATGCTATTTATTGAATGACCAAAACTTATATATATAACTGCAACAAATCTCTCCTCTGATCCATCTCTAACTTTTCAGTGGGGGGAAAAACTGACTGATCACATTTAATGCCTTGTAAACCAAACTAGAAATATTCCATCATCATTGAGCAGAACCAGAACTTTCACTGATCGCAGTGAACAGGTGTTTCCTCAGGGAAACCCCATGATCAACCCAGATCCCAAGTGGAACTCCTACATACAATTCATCACTAAAGATGCTGGGGAAATGGTTTGTTCTCTGTACTGCTCTATTAAATACCTGTCTCATTTTGCTATCCTCTCTCTTTACAAAAGCCAGACCAGGCCCAAACTTGAGTATTGTTACCATATATAGGCAGGCACTGTCTAGTCTTCACTTTCTAATCTCAATAGAGTGCAGGAGCATCTCTGCCTCATTATGGCCAATAAATTATTTTCCCCCCTTCAATCTATTACTCACAGACAAAAAATTGCTAGGCTCTCACTTCTTTATCACTATTTCCATGGAAAGTGTTCAGACAAAGTACATTCCTTAGTTCCACCAGTTCTAACTATCTTAGACCTGTCATGCCATGCACATTGTAGCAAACCACTAATGTTTCCTTGTATTTGGTGAGATGTAATTTTGTCTTGAGTAGCTTGTTCTCATGAACCGCTGCTTTGTAGAACCAACTGTCAACAGGATGGCTCTCTAATCACTACAATTATCTCCTCCCACATATCCCTATAAACTGTACCTCTTACTCTAAGATGAGGTATTATGTACATTATTTACATTATTTGAACTATTGTCCTCATCTTTGTTGCCATATTTATTACAATCTTTTGGCACAGTGGATAAAGGCATTAGTTAGATCCAGTGATAGGACTCAAAGAGTGTGAGTTCAATACCCAGTTAAGGCAGTGGAGAACTTTCAGAGGGAAATTAACAGGCGATAACTGATAACTGACATGGCACGTGGAACTAGAACAGTCTACCCCAGTGAGCGAAATAAAGGGTTCAGTTCGACATTCCAACCACCTGAAGAAGGCCGGAGTGTATAATGGCTGAAACATTGTAATAAATATGTCAACAAAAATGAGGACAATAGTCTGAATAATGTAAATTATATTAGATTTCCTGTTATTCTTTTGATGGCAAATTTAAAAAACGTTATTTTTAATGTATTTATTGATGGAATTATTTCTTTTTTTTCTCAGTGGAACCCATTATAGCTGAAAAAAAGATAGACTCCATTGAAACAGAAATTGAAACACATGAAGAAAGAAGACAGTCTTCTGACATGGAGGAGGTAATTCATCTTTCTAAAAAACCTTTTATCTGTTCAGAAGAAAAAGTCATATGTCAAAGGGCTTTCATAATGCCTGCTGTTTTTGTGAAAAGAAAAAAAAAAAAGAAGAAATTTCTCCATTACAAAGGTCATCAAACATGCAAATCTATTTCACTCCAAGTCAATCATAAATTGCACAAGCAGTTATTGAGTTGAGTAGAATGCTTTAAAGAACATGCAAATCCATTTCACTCCTAGCCAAGCATAAAGCATACAAAGTTCAGCAGACTGCTTGTTGTGAAAATAGAAAGTATTATCATTTTATACATCTTGGTACATTTATCCCATAAACAATATTTGGACTCATTTGAGTCTGGCAAAAACAAAAATTAATAAATGTATTAACAAGACATGTTACAACAGGATAAAGACAGTAACAAAGTTGAAGTTGCGAACAGTTCAGTACAATTTTCAGTCTATGTCTCTGAAGTATTTACATGCCATGTGTCTATTAGTGTGAAAGGAAATGGGTGTTGCTGCTCCAAAAGTCAAAGGAAAAGAAGAAACTTTCAAATATTGTGCCATCTATTATTATTGTTGGGGTGGTAATCTAACATGCTTTAAAAACTGTTGATTTTTCTACCATTGGAGTAAATTTTGCTTGGGTGGCTGCGAATGAATGAATTGAACTTCATGTCAATAATTGAGACCTTAATTAACGACCTTTTGTGAAATTCTATTCGATTACTGAATTTCTATTCATTTTACAAGTCCACAAATCACGACAAAATCCCATCACTTTGAAACTTAATTAAATCAAGATAAGTATTAAATGAACTTATCTCCTGTGCTAATTCCAGGTCAAGTTATAAGTATGTTTTATCAAATAAAGTGTTTTGGAACGAGGCTAAGTAACTTATAGATCTCTGAAAAGGATCTTTTGTATCATGATTGTCATTTTATGTTACAGGATTATCAAGGCTGAAGGGATATATTTAATATTAGGGTGTATATTTATACGAGTGAATGTATAGTGATAGTATTATGTATGCATAAGAGTTTTCTTGGAGAGAAAATAGGAATAAAATTACAAACAATATTTTAAAATTAACAGCATATTTATTGCCTTAGCAAACTAAATAGCTGGCGTGGGGTTGTATAGATACCCTTTCCCAAGGGTATCTGCACGAATACGGACATTTCCATACATACACATCAATTTACCTTTTTTTATATTTACTAAGGATAAATAGCAGGACAGACTGGCTCCTTTACCCTTATGGGGTAATTGACCTAGGAGAAGGATAACTCTGAATTCAAAACTATACATAGCCCTGGTAAAATACATACTACACAGCTAACGAAAGGATTGTGGAGTTTACAGTGATTCTGTGATCACCACTGTGGTCAGCCTTAATTGATTGATTGAACTGTAAAAAACAATTTTGATCATTACTCATAATCAATTTCGTTCATGATTAATATACAATATTTTACAATGTTATTGTCATATGAGAAATAGAACTACTATTTGCTTATTTTACTATTTTATATTAATTAAACTGAATATGAATTAATTTTCAGGATATAAAAATTTTTTTCTATAATGTTATTATTGTCATTTATGATGAAATTTTTATGCTGAAAATTATTGATTTGTCTTAAAAAAATAATTTCAGTATTAAAAGTTTATGCAGGATATTTTTCGGGGAGGTAATTTTGATTCTATTACTTAGAGTTACTTCCCTTGAAACTATATTCCAGTCTATATTATTTTTGGTAGATACTCGTATTTGAGTCGACTCTCAGTTATTTATTAAACAGTATATTCATTTATTTTCGTCTACCGGACTTGAATATTTGAGAAATCTTATTAAAGAAAAATTGGGGGACGCAGTTTCGAACATTCAGGTCGGTAGAAAAAAAATAAATAATTATACTTTTTAAACCGTACTCAAATACATGTGTCCACAAAGCATACCGTTTAATAATCTGTCGTTTTGATAAATAAAAAGATTCATCACTTTTTTGAGAAATACTTGAATATTTATATAATATGCACTCGTATATTGTAAAACTGTGAAGAAGTGTTACGAATTTGTTGGCTTGGACCTGAAGCAATTCATTGGTCAGTTTTTTTACTTTAGGTTGCCAATGACTGTTGATAAATTGTGGTTTATTTTACTTTGCAAGAATGTTACTCTTGTAAAAATTTCCATTGGACACAGGTACTATGTCCATGGCCACTAACAAAGATAACTCTCCTTTCAACATAAGTGAATTGGTCTACTTTAGCCACAGACTTTAATCTTCTAATGAGTTGTACCTGCGAAAAAATTCACGGATGATGTAAATATTGTTTAATTAATATCTACTCGTTAATCAAAATTGCTTAATTTGAACTATTTTGGTTAATAAAAAATTATATTATCCTTTATTTCATATTTAATAATATAAGTTTACAGCTGGGATTTTGTAAAGTGGTCTATAAAACTATACATTTTAAGCAATATGAGTTGACAAGGTTAATAAGTGGGCTATAAAACTTATTAACCTTGTCAACTCATATTTCCAAAAATAGATAATCCTCTGGTGTCTGCCATCCACAACAACTGAGCTACAATTGTTCCATATTGCATGCTAAGTCAGGAGAGTAGTGCGAAGGAGCAAACAAAAAAAAAAGAATTTACCAACTAGGAATTATGAGTACTTTAAATATTGGGGATTAGCAAAACACCCAATGTAACTAACACAGGGTTAAGAAAGTGGAAACATTCCAGAATAATATCATGTGATTCATGACCAACAACTTCCTAATTTGTCACATAAAGATACAAACACTTCTGGGCATAACTGGTTTAGTTACAATTTTCCTCATAGTAAAAAGGAAAAGCTTGCAGTTATTTGGTCATATTTTTATTGTTTAATACCAAAACCTTGTAGTAAAATACATTATTATTATGAATAAATAAAATATAAAATAATAATATTGAAAATTATAAATAAAATAAAATAAAACGGCAATATAAAAACCTTGTATAAAATAAATTAAATAAAAATAAAAAAATCTCCCAGCATGCAACAGAAACTGTTCCTGCCAGAAAACAGAAATCCCGCCAAAAGATGTTGAATTCAATCTCTTCGCTACAAACCTTCAGACGGGCAACACATGTCCCAACTTCTCTCTCTGTGACACTGCATGTAATAATACAGAGTGACTTCTCCCTTTTTACCACATGCAACCATAAAACATTTGTAAAAATATTCACATCAGTACACAAAAAAATAAGTTGTATGATATTAATGTACAATTTAACATACATTTACTGTTATCTCTGTGTATATTTATTTCCTGTGAAGTATGTTTTTATTTCATGTGAACACAAGGTTATTGCTGCTGCTATGATGTGAGTGACCTTGTCGGAGTTAACTCCTCCTTTAGTACATTAACCCTTTCACCAGGGGTCTCTCTTCTCTGGCTATAAATAGCCACTGACCCTTCGCCTCTATCTCTTTTTCCTTCAGGCCTGTGTGCCGAAACCCTGAGGTAAATATCTCTTTTTTTCCTCAGGATTTCAGCTATCAACCTCGAAATGTAGGCGCTAACAAGGGATAGCGTGGAAACATGCTAAGCACAATACACACGCACGCACATACAGAATATTCACACACACACGCACATACAGAATATTCCCATACACTTCATCCTTTGTACTGTTTCCATGTATTGTAATTTGTTATTAATATATATTTGTATATACATATATTATCGGTCTTGTGTTTTGTTTGCTTTCTTTGCCTTCTTCTTTGGACTTAATCAGAGTCCAACCTTTTTATGTAGTTGGGCCCGGCGAGCAGGAGAATCTGAACCTTATATGCGTTTCTTCTACATCTGACTTCTATCAACAACACAACAGCCACGGCCCTCTACAACCTCACAATACACAACTAAATGATTTAGATGTTATTTTCTCATTCAAATTTTTTGAGTGAAAAAAGAATCGAGCCATAACAAAAATGATGACAGGTGTGAGATGGGGAATATAAGCATACATGTTTTTGTAATTTGAATCTCTTCATTATTATATTATTTATAAAGGGTGTTTCATTAAGATGGATCAAAGTCAGCAGTAAAAAAAATCAGTATTATTGGTGAAAATTTATTTTTCTCTATTGAATCATGTTATTTAAGTCATGGCAATTATGTGTGAAAAATAATATCACTCAAATGTCTGTCAAATCTGAAAGGAAAAGAAAAAAAGCATTAGACGCTTAAAGTTAATTCACATTCATTTAAAATTGATCCTAGTTATTGGAACACCCTTTGTTTGGGCTAATGTCCTCATCTTTGTTAATATCATAATTTTTTAACCATTGTGACCCCCAGCCCTTTTCAGTTGTCTGACAATCCAGGTAATCTTCTGGAAATTTTAAACTGAACTCTTTATTTAATCTGTGTAGGTAAATTGTATTCATTCCACTGTTGTCCATGTCTAGGGTTAATCTCATCCCTTTTTTTCTACTGCTGCATTATTGCTCACCCTGTTTCCACTGAGTTGAAGTCTATACTATCCATCCCAGGGATTGAACTCACAATTACTATGCAACCTAATTCATGGCTCGACACTTTAATCCATAGTTACAAGAGCTGAAATGTTGTGATGATAAGAAATTTGAGGACATTAGTCCTCATCACAGAAATTCAGACAGAAATTAATCTTTTCAATATAAAAATATTTGAGAATAAAGCTAGAGTTTTATTTTTAATTATTAAAAACCTAAAACTACTTTAGGATTTGCCTTTGATATTGTCAGGCTCAATGTGCAGTGAGGATGTTAGTGCAAGAAGCGGAAGTGTTGACTCAAGATGAAACCCGACCCTCCAGTATGAAGACCAAGGTTAAGCAAAAGTCATCATCTTTGGAAATTAAGGGAGAAATTCAATCAGGTGAGAATAACAAGTTAAAATACATTATAATTTAAAAAATTAAATTAAAAAATAGTTTTTGTATTGTTTATTTTGTATAGAACACAGCATGGTGGAGTAATGGATAGCAAATCAGATTGAGGAATCGGAGAGCCGAGTTCAAGTTCCAGTCAAATCCATTACATTCACTTCCATGCTAATATCCTTGGAAAAGGTATGAATCCTCTTCTTCTCCCCCCCCCCACATATACTGGATTCTATAGCCTTGGTTGGCAACTGGTCTACCACAGAAGGAAATGGCAACCTACTGTGGGAAAAAAATCTACCTCATCAGTCATGTATCGAAAGATACATGATCACCTAAGCATGTATCACACATGACACATAACTGATTGATAGTTTATTGGTTTTTTGTTTCAGTTTTTCTTCTGAATATAAATAAAAATTTTCTATTCAAATTTCTGATTTTTAAAAAATATTGTGTTTGAATTAAGAAAAAAAAAGTATATACCTAAGGCAGGCTGAAAAAAACACCTATCAAAACAGTGTAATAAAAATAGAATAGATGAAGTTAACCAGTTTAAATAACTCCTGGAATAGAAGAAAAGTAAAAGCTTCTTTTCAAAACTTCATATTGCATCTGATATGTTGATGCCTTCCTACATAAGTTGTTAGTTACACTGCAAAAGAAAAAAAAATATTGAATAAAACTTCACCCAGTTTCAAAAGGTAAAAAGATTAAAGGTGGGCAATACCCCTTAAAATTAAAGGAGGCAATACCCCTTCTCCCGTCTCCATCATTTCTCGTTCACTTTCTCTCGTTGGGAGATTTCTTACACTTTATCTTTCTTTCTCTCTGCATCATTCTTTTGTTTTTACCAATTCTGTTGTCATGGGAAAATGAAGAGGTAGGCAGTTGATCACTATATGATGGCTAGTGGCTTGTTGTCGACAACCACAAGATATCAACTTAGAATATCAAGCAATGCCCATTGAAAGAATTTTTAAAGTGGAGAAAGAGGTTACACTGGTTCAATACTACTCTTTGAGCAAGAACATATCAAAAAAGAAGAACCAGTTGACATTATTGTATGTTGTCTAGCTGCAGGTGTTCCATTTATTTACCTTTGAGCTGGATAACAAAGGCTCACTTCCAGTCGGTGTACTGTGGGCCTGAACACTAACATAGGTATTTCTACAGCCCCACACCTGTACGAGATAAACATCTCATAAAAGTACTCATCCACTCTGGCAGATCTTATTTTTGATCTTACTAGGTGACTAGCCACCCTCCTTGTCAGAAAAGCCTGATGAGGAACCGGTTTAGGTACCAATAACTCAACTATGCTGCGGGGTGTACTGGCATAATGATGTGTGTGTGTGTGTGTATATATAATATATTTGCTTTCTGACCATGTGACTCTAGTTTGAATCACACCAGGGTTGATTTGTCAGCATGGTGACTTCTTCATGTTATCAGTTTGGGGGAGGTTGTCCTAGCATACAGCACCTTTGGAAAGTGCCTAAAAATCATACCACAGGTTGATCCAGCTTATGACTGGAATTAGGTAGATGGAATTATTTGAGAGTCATTGATGGCTGTGTTAGCACAAAGTCACTAGTCATCTTGGCTGAGGTTTTGAGCATGCTGGCCTTGTTCAGACTGGTGATCATGACAGATAATGTGCTCTCTCCCAGAAACTGTAACTAAGGTCCACTCAGCATAGTTGCAGTATAAACCACAGGTGAGCTCTGTGGGTGTTGAACAAACACAATGCCTGAGCATTTATCTGCAACATGGATTGGCTAGCTACCCGCAGTAGACAGGCATCCTCAGATATGAGTGGCCAGCCATAACATACATATATAACAATAACAAAGTTTGTGTTTAAGATTTCAAGGCAGGCATTTAGAAAGATATTACATGTCAGATTTTAGAGTAAAGCAAGATCAGAATATTATGGATGGAACATGTGTGCAATGGGGTAAGTTGTAAGAAAAATGGAGAGAAAGGTCACTTGGGTATAGAAACCAAAATAAAAAGTTGAAATATCTGGTACCCATAATGAGTAGAGAGAGCTTGGAGAATTTGGCACTCACAGAATATAATAAAGGTAAGAGAGCAGATGGAAAAAGCTAAGTAAGGATTTGAGAAATGGGCAAAATTTAATTAGAAACAAAGAGTGCTGGATTGCTATATTATATCCATTCTCTTATATGACAGTGTGTTGTGGTGTAATGGATATCAGAGAGCTGAGTTCAAATTCCAGTTGAGTATGTTAGATTCACTTATACACAAATACCCTTAGGAAAGGTATGAATCCTCTCTTCTCTCCCACCCCCACCCCCAGCTATTGGTTGAATAGCAGGCCAGATTGGGTTCTTTTGTCTTGGTTGGCAACCAGTCTCCTGCAGAAAGAAATGGCAACCTCCTGCAGGACAAAATCTGCCTTATCAGTTATGTATCAAAAAAATACATGATTGCTTAAGCGTATATCACATATCGCAATTTATTGACTGATATGACAGTGAATGTTGAAAAGTTTCCACAAAGATGAGAAAAAAACTGGAGGCAGCAGAAACATAGTTCTACCAAAGGATACTGAATGGACCAATGTACAGAGCGAGTAAGCAACAAAGAAGTCTTAAAGAAAATGATAATAGAAAGAATACTTGTACTCAGAATCAGGAGAAGACAGCTGAAATCTCTTGGACTCATAATAAGGAATGTCAGGCTTGGAAAGCTTAATCCTCACAAAGCATATTGAAGGCAAAAGAGATAGAGGAAGTCAACAAGCACCTTACCTGATGAGTTTGTGTGAATGGGAGGCCAAATGATGGAGAGCCACAAGAGATAGTTGTGGAGAGCCATAATCGCCTATATCTTGAAGAGATGCAGCACAGAATATGTATATATAGATTTAGTGTATTGAGGCAGCAGATCATTATTGAAACATATATTGTTAAATATAACAGACAACTAATGTCTATTATGTTTGATCATGAGCCGTTCTAAATTTTGTATAGCTGCTTTAGTGTGGGCTGAAAGCTTAGATCGAACAACAGCGTAATAAAAATATCCAAATGTTTGATAGTTTTTGTCTTTATTTTTTCCCAAAATTGAAGCAACTAAATGAAGTATAGAACAGCTCATGATCAAACATAATAGACATTTGTTATTGTCTGTTATATTTAACTATATATATATATATATATATATATATATATATATATATATATAATATGTGAGTGTGTGCTTGCTGTGTGTTTCTGAGTAAACTCATCTGCTGCTAGAGTGGTCAGGTAACCTCTTTTGCAGACACCTGCTTCAGCACATTATCTTTAGCACACAATGAACAAGGTCATTATGCTTAAACCTTCTGTCATGATAACTTCATGCTAGTCCAACCAATTTCACTTGGGTCAATCTGTTGTAGGGTTTTCAGGTAATTCCTGATGGCACTGTGATCAACTCCTCAGATAATATTATGAAAAAGTCACTGTTTTCACAGATCGGCAATGGCAAGATTCGAGCCCAGTTGTAATGTCCTAATTATATGGTCTGTAGATGTAATACTTTTCAGAGAGCACGTAGATATTAATTCTAAGCAGAAGTGTGAATTTATATGCAAATAATGCTGTCCATTTTATGGGTATTATGCTAGTCATAAAGAATGACATCACTTAAATTAGATATTAAAGGATACAGAATGTATCACTGAAATCCTAAGGTGCAAAAAATGCCTTACAAATGCTAAGCAAATTATTAAGAAACAGAAAATTTTAATTACAAAGAAACTGGTATAATAGAATATGCATACACCTGAGTTTCCTCTCACTGGAATATGATTGGTTGGTGTCCGCCATAAATATAGACGGACGTGTAGGTACGACAGAGTTTAAGTTTATGATGACACCCACTTGACTACGCCATTGGCTGTCCTATTGGTCTACACCTATTACCTGTGACTACGACGAGTACCAGTCGATTACTGCTACCGTGTACTACTTGGTTACAGTAACCAAACCCACTTAGCTACTTCAATCAAATATATCCCTTTCCGGGACATATCAGAAATAAATGAAGAAAGGAGTACTGAACTGTTGCATAATATCAATGAATCAGTGAATGCTGGACAATCTCCTCACAGATGAAGAAGAGACTTGAGACAATCGAAGTATACTAATGCAGATGGATGTTGAGAATGCCATAGACTGAACATGTGAGAAAGGAGGAAGTTTTAAGGAAAATGGAAGCAAAAAGATGCTTTTGCTTAGAATCAGAAGGAGGAAAGAGGGCTTGGAAAATTTGATACTCATAGGACATATTAAAAGCAAGAGTGACAGAGAAAAGTCAATGCATAACCTACCTCACAAATTTGTGTAAATGGATGTCAGAACAGGGGTTAGGGGAGATAACAAAAAGACAAAATTTACTAAGAGCTAGTAAGGATAGGAAATTGTGGAGAACCATGAATGGACATGGCACATAGAAGATGATTTGATGGGACAGAGTGAGTCAAATCAGTTACTGAAACTTCTAACAAGATTTAGAATTTGATATCTGTTAAAAATAAAATTAAAGTATCTTTTGGCCTTTTATATTTCATAGAGCCTCATTCATTCAGGCTTATGGCCATATGTTGAAAAACCAGTTCCCATATGGTCACCAAAGTTAATCAATGTCATGCTTGGTTAGTACCTAGAAGGGTGACCATTTGGGAAGAGCAGGTGCTGTTAGTATAATGGTTTGGAATTGTTAATCATAGAGCTCTAATTCTCGTTAAGTTTGTTATATTTACTTACATACAAATACTTTTGAGAAAAATATGAATCCACCTCTTTTCGACTACCTAAGTGCTAATTAATATGATGTGTGAAATGGATAAAGCAATACACATAAAAGGTAGTAATAATTTATTCTGAAGAAAAATAAAGTAACAACAGTCAAGAACACAGTCTACTGGAATAACAGTTAATCGTAAACTTCACCTCAGTTCTGTTCCACTTCCACCTCTCTCATTAAGAGAGTGTGCTGTTTATCTTTTTAGATCAGACCATCTTGTGGGGATGCTTCGATAATCCACTACAATGTATATCACTAAACCATTATTATCTGAAAGAAAAAAATTCTTAGAATCTAAAAATATTTTCTGGTTTTAAATAAGCTGCAAAGGGTTGATAAGACATAGAAAACAAATCATTCATTTCCATTATTTTCAGCTTATTTTCCCACCATGAGCTTTGCTTGCTTCTCCATTTTTTTCTATTAGAACAATATCCTTATCAGTTTAGTCCCAATGTGAAGATTTAAACCAGCAGCTAAATTATCTCTGACAAGTTTCAGTTACTTGTAACTTCTTCAATAAAATTAATGTGTATTATACATGTGTTGCAATCATTACTTCTTGCTCAACTAAAATCAGTGGTTTCACATGTAAATGATAGGTTCTCATGATTTGTAGTCAGAAAGGAAATGGAATAAATTTCAATAATGAGATATTTTCCTGTTATATAACTAGTAAATAAAGGAGAGAAAATATGCTAGTGTGTATACAAGTGAAAAGGAAGAAAACCTTAGCTATTAGGAATTGTATTTTTCTGGGTGTTCACTTGTTAGGCACCTGGGGGACAAAGCAGGGATGAGTTTTACATTGGTATTGCTACCTACTGTATCTTAGTTTGTAAAGAGAAAGAGGAAGCTTATGTCCAGGCTTTTATAGTTCTGAAACAGTGCCATGTGGAGTTAACATGTATTTAAGTTTTTTTTTTAATTTTCCTGCAATTTTAGATTAGAAAACTTTTTGAAAAAAGTAACAGTGGAAACACAATAAAGAATGTCTGTTTAAAATATAAAGAGAGAATGAATCTAACTATTGTATATTATGGTGATCATGTACAAATCTGTTATTAAAAAATGAAACTGGCAAAGTTCAGTATGTATGTGTGTGTGTATATATATATATATATATATATATATATATATTTATACACACACACACACACACACGTTAGTGCTTTGATGAATGCCTAAGGACCATTTTTAGTGATGTCACTAAAGCTTATAACATTTTCAGAACCACCAATCAAGCTACCAAAGTGGAAATGAAGATGTATAAAGTTGTATCAAGTTGTGCTGAGGTGGATCAAGTTTTGATTAGCCCTGGTTAGGTCAACCAGGGAAAGTGCTCTGAGGTGAAAAGACCTGAATCTCCTGATAATACTGACTAAAACATCAATGATGATACCTCTCTAACCAGTGCATAGGAAAAACTTTATTTATATATATACACACACACACACACACACACACACACATATTTTCTTCTCTGATTCTTAATGTTTCTCTCTCTTTGCAAACATATATATATATTTACACACACATATTGGAAAGTGTTTTTTTTCTGGTATCCATTGTGAATGTGTGGCTGGTCTAATAGCAGCTCGGAATGAGAAATCAGAGCGCTAAGTTCAACTTCTGGTTGGGTTTATTACATTTACTTACACACAAATACTCTTGGGAAAGGTATGGATTCATCTCCTCCTCACCAGCTTTGGGTTAAATAGTTAGACTTGTATCTGGAAAGCTTATTGTTATGCTCAAATAATTGTTTCAATCAATCTGCAATACATGGTCAGAATATTTCATGTGGAGCTTTCAAATTTGTTGTCTGTTTATAGAGTCATGGGCAGGATTTCAAGACTTTGTTTCTTATTGAAAAACTGAATTGTTTTCTGTTAAGTTGATTAATCTTTGACAATTACAATTTGTAACTGTTCATTATAAGACTATAATTCATTTTGCAATATCCAGACAAGAAAAATATTGGAATGCTTTGAAAATCAATTTTACTGAGTGACTTTCTCACTGATCTATATTTTCTGTCTTTCACTGTATTTTTCATTTTTAACTTACCAAGAACAAATAAAATCTAATTAGTTTTTCATTTCAGCTATGAATTGTGATCTATATCTTTACGATTGGTGTCAAAGAAAAATGAATTTTAACAAATGTTAACAATTGTTAACAAATGTTAACAATTGAAGAAAACATTTTTTTAATTGGCAACAAAGATTATTAGGTAGACATTTAAGAGTTATATATTTTATTTGTTTCTCCTTGATATAAGAAATTACATGGGACTAATTTTCAGGACCTATCTATCTATCTATCTATATATATATATATATATATATATATATATATATATACATGGATACACATATTTGAGTAGGTGCTCTGTTTTTATATATTTATTAAACAGTATATTTATTTAAGTTCCACTTAAGATTATCGCACAAAATTTCATAACTAAATCAATTAAGTTGTCAGATCCGCAGATGTCGAAACCGACAGGAGAGTCCATTATATTTATTTATTTACATCTACCAGGCTGGATATTTGAGAAATATTATTAGCAAAATATGTGTCCTCTGGCAGGATCTGAACCTGCATCTCCTAAGTGAATCCTGCTGGAGAACACATATTTTTCTAATAATATTTCTCAAATATTCAGGCTGTTAGATGTAAATAAATACACTCTCTGTTTAATAAATAAATAAAAACAGAGCATCTACTCAAATATGATTATCCATTTAAAAATAATGTTTAAAAAAAAAAATCTGCCAGATTTAATCCATTTCTAATATATATATATATATATATATATATATATATATATATATAATTGATACTATTGAAATACACCTGTTAAAATATGAAAGAATACTGTAATTTAATGTATTTTAGGCAAAAAAGTCTTCATTAGTTAATTCTATAGATAGTCAATAAATATTTAATGTACTCATCTCAATTGACCAATGCCAACTGATTGATGTTATTTTCACCATTCCAATCCCAGAGTTTCATTGACAAACCTTTTTTGTTATCATTCAGTCCCCTTGTCAGCCTGCATCAGCAATTGATTGCTGATTTTCTCATTTTCTTTATTTTTATATTAACTTAAAAAATAATATAATATCCTTTTTATTGCTGTTGATTTTTTTTACTTCGTTGTGTGTGTGTTGACATGTGTGCCTGTGTATATTTAGGTAATAAGAATTCATTCAAACATGATTTGTTAAATTTAACAGTCAAGGTTTGTCTTCTTAATTTATTATTTCATTTCTTCAATTTCCAAATATCTTGTACATTCAGATCAAAATTGGGGGATGAACTCTCTGAAGTTGAAGTTCATGTTTTGTTTTTTTTTCTGTACTTTTCACTGTCTCAGTCATTATCAAGAATTGGTTGTTGCAAGTGTAGGAGAAAATTTTTTGTTGCTTACATCCTCATACTATTTTTTATGAATGCTGGGATTCAGATTAATGCAAAGTGTTTTTATATGTAAAACATTTACTTAGAACTAGAACTCACCTGGGAATCTGTTCAATATTTATACGTATCATTATTATTTATACACATATAGAATATTTTATACACATTCTGAGATACCGTTTAATTTGTTTCTTTTATATAATAATTAATATTTTGGACTTCTTATAGTAAATAATAAATTTAAGGTTTTTCTTGGCATTGTTAAGTAATTTGTACTGGCAGATTATATATTTTTATCTTGTTCAGACAATTTAATATCCAATCTCGGTCCCAGTGTACAATAATCCAATAAAAAAAATATAGGAAAACATAGTGACTAAAAATAGTTAAACAGGCTGTGAACATAAAGTATGATTACAGCAGGTAAAAAATAGATGGTAAGAATGGTTATACTGGTTTAACATAGATGGTAACAATAGTTATAGCAGCTAAAAATAGATGGTAAGAATGGTTTTAGGGCTACAAATAGAGGATAAGAATAGTTATAGAGGCAAAAGATAAATGTAGGAATGGTTTGGGGGCTAAAAATAGATCGTAAGAATGCTTATAGAGGCTAAAAATAGATCGTAAAAATGCTTATAGAGGCTAGAAATAGATCGTTAGAATGCTTAAAGTGGCTATAAGTCTGAATACTTATGAACAGCTATGATTCAAAATAATGATTTCTGTAACATTCATTCTTGTATGCTAAAAATGTTATTTGATCAATGTAAAAATAAATAATTAAATTGTCTTTTCATTTTAGCATCTCTCTTGTTCTGGTTTAAAATCCCATATTTCATTTGCATAAAATCACCATTGCGCAATAAAATCAATTTGATTTTATTCCAACAGCTTAAGTTTGTATATTGTTTTGAAAAAAAAAACGGATTTCAGCAAATATGAATCTTTAAGGATTCGATAGTGTTTGACTGCAATGCAGCATAATGATGCCATATTATCTTTCTGATATTTTCATTTTTTGATTTTGAAGACTATCAAGACTTTCTGACTCCTTAAATGTTACAATTATTCATTTTTATAAATTTTATTTTCCAGACACTGTCACAAGATCTGTTGATCAAATAATTGAATCTCTTTGGGAGCAAGTGCATAGCGAAATGTAAGTAAATTTGAGATTGTTTAAAATTGGTATATAAACCAACAGAGATGAGGGAGAATTGTTTTTGAGATGGCCAAAAAAATTGCTCACTTTTCCACAAATTGTGGAGTGATTCTATTTCTTCTTTATCAATTGATCATCCTGGGTATGATGATAAACTACACCTGGCAGGAAGACCTCTGACTGGCAGGTTTTGAGGAGCATAGAACCACTTCTTAATTGCTCTTGTTCTCAGGTCAATCCCGTCCTTGGGTGGTAGCACCTGTTAGGGTCCTAGGTATGGGAAAATAGTGAACCCCCAAACTGGGGTCAAAACATTATGAAAGTGTAAAAATATATATTTTGTAGTAAGAATACTAGCAATACATTTTCATAGTAAAAAAAAATTATCAGCAATGCATAATAATGTATTGCTTACGGTAATGGAATTTATTGGAAAGGGAAGAGAAAAATTACCAGCAATACATTTAAAAAATAAAATTAGCAAATCTCTCCAAAAAATTAAATTTTGGCGTAAGGAATTGATAATGCTGTTAAATAAATCTTATCTGTTGAGCTGAATTAAAATTATATGCATATTAAATAGGCTGTATTTGATCAGTTCATTTGACCCCTTCTATTTAATTGCATTGTCACAAACTAATTGTTATTCTATGCTATTTCCATAGCAAATGTTCAGACGAGCTGCGTTCTTTAGTTCTGCTAGTTCAGATCTTTGCCACCAATTCCTGTCTTGCTACACCCACAAGGTTGAATCACCCTCATTTCCTTTGTATTCCATTGATCAGAAGGCCGTTTTCTCAGACAACTTTACCCTAAGAACTGCTGTTTTGTCAAACAGAGTACTGCATGGATGCTTCTCCAAACACTATGATCATTAAGTTCCACATCAGTCATTATCCCTCCTCCAAATTCTCATAATCTTCACTTCCTATTTCCTTCTTTCTTTTTCATCATTTGACCCCAAGCAAGGCAATAAAGCCACTAAAACACAAGCAATTACTGAGTGTTAGAGAATATGAAAAAAAAAAAAAACGTTAAGGAGTGATAACAATAAAAGAATAGGAAATAAGACAAAAGATAATGATTGACATTGCATTTAAATTTTTGAAGAACAAATAAGCCATAAGTATGAGAATTATGAGAGAAGCAAGTGTTAGCAGAGAACTTACGGTTATATCTCGCTGCTTATTCATTATTGCACTTAAATTCATAAATTTTCATATTATATCCTCTTATATTTATATCATACACATCATTTAGTAACCCTCTACCTTGAGTGGCTTTGTGACTTGTACCGGGTGAATATTATTCTTCTTCTTCTTGCTATCCATTATCTGCTCCACATCTCCCATAGACTTGAAGTGACTGGGCAAGTATCCACTTGGGAGTCAGTTCCATGAAGCAGTGGGAAGAATCTATTTGAGTGCTATTAACATCTTACCAATGGGATATGAAATTTGGTACAATGGTATGGAGGGTCTTTGATATGAAGGTTAAAACTGATGGAAATAAGGAATATAGTTTGTCTAAACATTTTCCATGGAAATAGTGTTAGAGCATTAAACATTGTCTTTTAGGATAAATGGTTCATGAAAAGGTATGAAAGAAATAATCTATATCTATCAAGTGGTATTGTTTATTCTGTTTTGTACAAAAGAGATTTGCATTTTCTTCCCACTGAACAATGTGGTGACTAGAATAGATGAGAAATATGGCAAGAATTGGTCAGATTTTCTTGAGGTCTGTGATGGAATTAAAGCAACATAACCAAGCAACAAGCAATTGGTTATTTTTTCTATTTATTTAAAAAAATCAAACTGTTTTTTTACATAAACTAAGTACAATAACTGTAAAATTTCTGGATTGATTTTACATAGTATCAATATTATGAATAGGACATCCCTTTTAAAATGATTAAAAAAAGTTCAGTATATTTTAATTCTGCCAATTGCTAGGATCAAATGATTTAAAGCATGCTAATCTCACAAAATTATTTTTTTTTTTTAAGTTTCCCATTTTTTTTTAATCATTTCACCCCAAGCAAGGCAAGAAAGCCACAAGGGGTTACTGAGTATGAAAGAATATAAGAAAAAGAAAATTATTAATAAGGACTTGTGTCTCTAAGTACGGGTTGTTATATCAAGTTTTCAGACAAAGACATAACTTTCACGTACTTTTCCAATAATTATCTTAATTTCCTTATATGATAGCATTGTTAGGTTTGGCCCAATTTCCGATTCTAGATTCTGTTATTTACAGAGAGCACAAATGAGTTCTGTTCTTGAATATGGTGATTTTGGCTGCCCTGAAGCACAATTCCGTTCTACTATCAAGCTGATTCTATAAATATGTGAGAACATCATTCATATCCACATTTTTGTTTATCTATTTCTCTGTCTGTCTTATCTGTTTTCTGAACTTAATTCTTGCAAAAATGAAGAAAAGAAAACTTTGCCCATTAATTTTTTTTGACCCTCTCTCAAAGTACTATGCAACTACTACTTGCTTGTAAAATCCTTCTATAGAGAAGATTTATCTTGCCATCATGATAAGGCTTCATCTAAGAAAATCAATAACTATTAAATTGTCTGCTTGTCATTCATCTATAAATCATTAATTGGTATGTGAGCAGGATTATTTTTTTGACAGCAAACGTATCCAAAGATCTTTGTTAAAATTATAAAGGGACAAATATTTTAATAGATTTAGAAATTTATGGGACCTGTCATCTCCATTATCTTCACTGATATAAAACACAATGTCTGTCATGACAAACATGAGGAGGAATAAATTGAAAAAGGAATTTTAATTCTGTTGGTAACTTTTAGTATAGGGAGAAAGTTCAGGATAATTCCCAGAGTGAGAAAAGCAAAGAATGTTCTTTATGATGATCCCAGTAAAAAGAAATGAAGGTTGGAACTTGGTTTGTTGAATGGATGAGTGAATGAACGTAATGTCTAAGTTAGGTGTTGGGTTCTGGGAATGGTCTAAAAAACACTACTCTCTTGAAAATTCATGCTGCACATGCTCTTGTCTTTTGTTTTTTTTTATTCTTACTTATGCCATCATACCAAAGAGGGAGCTGCTGCTAACAAGATTAGCATGCATGTCTGGATAAATAGGTTGTAGCAGCTGCTATACAGTCAATGGTCATGCAAGCACAAAGTCAGAAGTCATTATGATTCTCATGCCAGATTGGCACTATTTAAATAGATGCTTAAAAATAAGGCAACTTTTTGGGAGTGGAGTATAATTTTTATATATTAGCATTACTTAAGCTTTCCTCAAGCTACGACATTTCCACATTTCAGAATAAAAAAATATCCATTTTTATTTTTTTTATTGAATTAGAGAACAGGTCCTATTCTTAATATTGATACAGTGTAAAATCGAGATTTCTTCACTCTTATTTACAAAAGTCAAGCTTGAAGCTGTGCCTACAGATCTATATATATTTTTTTCTATTTATTTAAAAAAATCAAACTGTTTTTTTACATAAACTAAGTACAATAACTGTAAAATTTCTGGATTGATTTTACATAGTATCAATATTATGAATAGGACATCCCTTTTAAAATGATTAAAAAAAGTTCAGTATATTTTAATTCTGCCAATTTCTAGGATCAAATGATTTAAAGCATGCTAATCTCACAAAATTATTTTTTTTTTTTAAGTTTCCCATTTTTTTTAATCATTTCACCCCAAGCAAGGCAAGAAAGCCACAAGGGGTTACTGAGTATGAAAGAATATAAGAAAAAGAAAATTATTAATAAGGAGCAAGAACAATAGAAGAACAAAAATTAAGAAGACAGAAGATAACAATTGACATTGTATTTAATCTTTTTAAGATCAATGTTGACTGGAAGAGAGTTCCACAAGTGCAAGAAAAGACATTTTTACCATAGGCTTTACATAGAAACTAGATCTTGCTACCAATCTGGTACTGCATTTAAATTCTAAAGTCTATAGGTACCATAGAAGAAAATTTATCAGAACACTTTCCATGAAAGTATTTATAGAAAAGGCACAGGGAAGCTATGTTACAGTGGTGAGAAAGTGACTGAAACTGAGATGCCAAGTCAGGACCAAGAACATTGCAGATTTTGGGGGGGGATTTGTTTATGATTCTCTAAATATTTAGCAGGAGCACTGGAGCAGATGTGGCAGCAATATTCAAAGCATGTATGAATGGTAGACTTATAAATATGTAAGATTGATTCCATTGAGAAAAATTGTCTAGCACTGCATAGTGAAACAACTTTCCTAGCAGCAGATCTAACAATTGATTCAATATAATCTTTCCACTTCATGTCAGTAGAGAATGTTAGGCCAAGAAGAGGCAACAAGTCACTCTCCTGGAGGTTAGCATCAGCCATGCTGATGGAAGGCAGTAATAGAGATCAGTTTCATTTTGGAGGCATTAAAATTAACAAAGCATTCCTTGCTCCAGTTAACAATACCAAGTAAGTCAATTTTGAGATTTTTGTTCATGTATCAGTCTATTTAAGTAGTGCTGGCAGATGCACTAATGGCAGAAGATTTAAAATCTTTCAAACCAATTTGATTAATCAGGGAGAATCTATATTTGGTTTGTCCCAATTATGCAAGTCCTGCAGAATTGTAATAAATATTTCCATCTTTTCCTTTCTCACTGTTGTTAATTCTAGTTGATTGCCAAATTTAGCATTTGTTCAACTTTTTGCCTGATTTAGACTAAACATAAGAATTTATATAGCTTAGTATGATCAAATACTATGTAAATTTTGTTTCATAACATAATGCCCGCTATACGTCTTTCTCAGGTTGTGCTGGTTGCAGAGTCAAGAGTATCCACGTGACCAGTTTAAGCAAAAAAGACAGTTGACCAGTTTTGAAACAATATTTACAACAAATGCACGAAAATGGTCACACAGACTTGTGAAAACAATTTCACACTAGGAGAAACAAAATTTTAGACAAACACCCATTCTAATGGCTATCTTTCTGTAGCAGTATAA